ATAGCCTTATGACATTTGGACTAAAGACCAGAACAATTACACCTTTAAATGGAAAGTTCACACCAAAATAAAAAATAAAAAAGTACTGGCAGCTCATTAACAACATTATCCATTCATTTTAATTTGCAAAATTCAAAATAGAGGTAAAACACCTGTAAAAAAAAAAAAAAGAAATACTGAAAATTCCTTCAAATTAATACAATGCATTAATTCAATTTAACACAGCTCCAAACAACATTGGACCCCAATGACTTTATTTTAGGTTATGGGGGGGAAATGTTATGAAAATTAATTGTTGTACACACATATTTATATTGTATGATCACACATAAAAGGAACAAAAAGATGGCATTATAGCTATTGCTTTTTTTTCTTTCTTTTTTTTTTTAAGATAGAACGTGTTTCAAAATGTTTTTATCAGAAAACTATTGTGGTTTGGATACTGCACGAGTTGTAAAATCTCAAATGATGTTAGGTAAGAACAGTAAGTTACATTCCAAAGATTTTTCTAACATTTGCTTGCCTTCAAAAAAGACTCTTTAACGACCTTTGTGTTTTGTTCTATAAGTACAATTGTTCTGTAAGGTTACAAAGCAAGAGAATAATGGCAGAAGAGTGTTGTGAAAGCAGTCGTTGTAAATCGCGCATGGTCCACAAGGTCAAACATAAAACGGTTTTGTCACTTATCTTCCACATACTCCAAAATACAGTTAGCAGCATAATCTCTGACTGGCCCCTTATAGGAAGGAAGAACAGCAAAGGAAGCATTGTACTTTTACAGTAAAGTTATGTAATTAATAAATGCCTCATTTGCATACATGCAAATCACCCCATTCCCATTTGGATCTGCAAAGTGGGACGCTCTGTTCTCATTTGCTGACCTAAATATCACTTGTCACTCTACATTTCATCAAAGGTTTTATTAGTATTATCATTTATATTTCCTTTTAAGTTAACAAGGAACAGCTGATTGATTAAATGTTTAAATGAAAGAAAGCTACATGCTCTTAATTGCATCATGACTGAGGGCTTCGGCTTCTTTGCTCAAGGATGGTTTATGAATATGTTCTTTCCAATTAGTGTAAATCTACATAAATGCAAATCTAAAGGACGAAGTCCCAGATCCCCTGTCAAGATTTTCGAATTTGATTTGACTTTGATCAAACACCAATGGTGCAAGACTTCGTCCATGAAGTTTTACATTGGGACAAATCAAGTCGCCCCGTGTTTCTGATCTGACAAATGCAGATTCAAACATTGCATTTCTAACATAGGTTTTAATGGTTAATTGTGAGTAATACATTATAAGTATAAGTTACAGTATACAGGTGCATCTCAATAAATTAGAATGTCGTGGAAAAGTTCATCAGATGCAGACGTTATGAGAATCCCTGCAGTGTTGGGAACGCCATGTCGAGACAACACAAAGTCTTAAAACACAGTAATTGTGTGCCTTTGAATTTTTAGCACCCGAAGAGACGTGGCTGGATCCAGAGAGGAGTGAATTTGTGATTTCATAGCTGATTTGTTAGGTGCACACAACGGATATCGCAGTTACATCTAAGAGTAAGGGAAATAAAATTATTGAGTGCAGAAAAGGTGCATGGAATTCATTAACTGGCGTATGCTACTCACCTTGGATGTCTAATGTGGCATGTAACAATGTGGAGGCTTCTCCTGCTCAATATGCTCTTATGCATCCATACAGGTTTGGCAACAGTGTGACCTGTTCCACAGTCTGGAGGAGCTTCAGGGCCCAGAGAGAAACTGAAACTAGTTTAGAGACACCAGACAGGGATTCTTCATCCTCACAGAAGTTCTTAGAACATCAATCCCTCCTCAATGCAATGCTTTATATGTATCAGTCACATGTTACCGTGTGTGCAAGAGAAAAACGATGAGGCAAATGATTGCAACAATTATTCTATGTCCTTATTTTCAAAACATGAGCTGACATACCACTTAAGTTTGATATTTACCCTCTACAATATGCATGTATGATACCATTTCACAAAAGAAAAAAAATATTCAAAAACTGTTCAAAAGTAAGATTTTTTTTTTTCTTTAAGAAAATTATATTTTTATTCAGTAAGGGCAATAAATTGATCAAGTGTGACAGTAAAAGACTTTTACATTGTTACAAAAAAAAAGAACAACAACAAAAAAAGAACTTTAAACAAAAATACACATGAAAATATTAAGGATTTAATATGTTTTCAACTGCGATAAGAAATGTCACTTGAGAAATGGCATCAAATCAGTATATTAGAATGATTTCCGAAGGATCACGTGACACTGAATAGTAGAGTAATGACTGCTGAAAATGTGGCTTGCCATCACAGAAATTGATTACATTATAAAATCGAAAACAGTTATTTAAATAGTAATAATGGTTCACAATATTACAGTTTTTTTCCTGTACTGATCAAATAAATGTAGTCTTGGTGAGTATAAGAAACTTCTTTTAAAATATCTTACTGGCCCCAAACGTTTCAATGGTAGTATATATGTTGGTACTGTTTTAACGATTGCAATATATATATATATACATATTTTTTTTTTTATAATTTTACCAGAAAACCAATAACCTATGCCTAAATCTATGTAATACAGATATATAATCTGTTTATAATATATAATACAATTATTTAAAAAAACAAACGTGATAATTTCTAAAATATCTAATAGACTTCTAATATTTTGTTATGGCCCCTCCTGATAAAAAAAGACTCATGAATTGCACATTTCATTTTATCACAATGAGCCAAATTTTGTCATGTTGCCTGAAGGCAACATCATACGTATAGGGTTGAGAGTACTGCAAAACCAAGCCTAACTTAGTGTAAACTTTTTTTGGTTTTGGGGAACATACAGTTGGTCCACACATTATGTTCATGGATTGTATTGTGCCTTTGACCTTACATGGGCCATCTGTGGTGTTTCACTTCTAAATGCTCTTTGGCTTTCTTTGTGCACTGTTTTATCTCTGTTTATTCCACAGCTGAGCAGCCGTTTTCGCTCCGCCACTGGAGATTTGTCAGGTTTGATTCAAAAAAGCAAAGAACAGAACTTTTTGTCAAGCTGTCAAAACTCCAGGGTCAACATAGCTTTAATTCCTAAGACAAGGTCAGAATAGTTATAATTCACTCGGGCCACTCAGATTTCACTTTGAAACAGGTGGCCATTTACAGAATGGAATCATTTGAGCCACTCCAAAACATATCATGTTTTGACAAATTTATGGAGACTCGTGGAGGAATGCTGCACACAGTTTTACACTAATTAATTAAAATAACATAACAGTCACTTCTAGACATTTAGCAAATAGTCGCCTCCAATTCACCAGAGAGCATTTGGAGTAGTCCTGTGGAGAGAACACCACCCAGATTCGTGTCAATATTGACAAATAGTCTATACTTAACTGCATTATTTGTAAATGATTCTTGGCATAGACTACAGCTCTTGCCATGGACATTATTGCTGAAAATTCCTACAAACCTCCTGAGAGTTATCACATTTGGTTGGGCGGTGAATAAAAAGCAATATTTTTTTCCCCTCCAATCTCTTCAATCTATCATTCATTCATTCAAATGAAGGACATTTATAGTATTCAACTTTAAATACAGCATTCCTTCTGCAGTTCCAAGGAACTTCTATTCTATGCTAAATAACCACGTATTCATCCAAGAATTGAATTACATCGTGGACACAATAGGACCTGTGACGCGCAAGAACTTTGATATGGAATAACGCAGTAGATACTCAAATGAATTGGATTGAACAAAGGTTAAATGTTTTTCAAACACTCAATGTCGCAGAAGCCTTGGACGACAAAGCGTCTAAATACAGTTGTAGGCGTACATACATTTGTCTTTACATTTCTTTGAACGAGGGTGAAATATTTTGTGCAGAATTAGTGCTTGAGACATTCAGTGCATTTAACAGAACAGGACAGAATTTGCATAATGGGTTTTTTTTATTCTCTTTGAAATCCAGAGTGCGGAATAACAAATGTATATGAAATAGCAGCCAAACATCAATAAATGGAAATGCCACAATTCTCTGTGGATGGTCTTGGGTGGATTTCTGCTGGAGGAGGAAAAACAGCCCGCTTATTGCAAAATAAGCAAAAAAGCGGATGTGATCAAACTCATGCCCACCAGGCTCGCTAATGCGCACACACACACACACACACACACTATTGCACACCTCTCACTTCTTCTAATCAGATGCAGTGAGATGTGGCAGCTCCTGCTGTGGAGCTATGGGAGGAGCAGCATGTCTCACAGGTGGTTTCAAAGAACAAGATACAGTAGTGGAGAGACGGTAATCACTCTCCAACTACAGATAAAGATCTCACTTGAGGGCTGCAACACAGAGTATCCTAACAGCCGTGCAGACCCACTCACACTACGACTCAAAAAAGTCAAATCAAGAGCGTCTTAGGAAATGTCCTTTGCAGGTACAATGATAATCACGATCATGTGGACGCTTTTTAATTTGCTGTGGTTTTCGTACTGACTCAAAAACAGATAACAAAAATGGCATTGAATCAGTCAGCGAAATTGAGCTGAGAAAAAAAACCTTTTTTGATCGCATTTAATATTTATGTATATACACGTGTATATGTATATAGTGTGTGTGTGTGTGTGTGTATATATATATATATATATATATACACAATACACACACACACACACATTAAATGCAGATAAAAAAATTTAAAAAGCTGTGTGAAATTAAAATCCTTTATCTTTACAACGTTATACAACATAAAGAGGTCAAAACATTTAATGCACATTTTAAAGGAAATCCTTGAAGCAATGAAGAGAGCACATTTCACATTTATGGGCAATAACCTTTGTTCTATATTAAAAAAAAAGAAGAGTTTGTTACAGAACATACATGGAAAAGGAATTTCGAAATTAGTTTTATTCTTACTCTTTTAACTGAATATGTATGGAAGGAATAAAACAAGGTGACTTCAGAAGATATTCACAAAACGTGTAATTTCGAATTGATTACTGATTTTAATGCGATGCAAATGTAAAACCTCCAAATCATTTAATAAATTCCTTATTTGACATTCTGAAACTGAAAAACTTGAAATTCTTTTCTCTCTTTCCTTCTTTCTTAGAGAACACAAACAGAATAAAAGACAAATGGCTTGTTAATATCTTTAATATTTACAGTTTCTTTAAAAAAAAAGTATGTGGCATATTCCTCCCCAACCACTTCCCCACAAATCCTGTCTGAAAATATTAATGTTATTTTTTTTTCTTAACTTTGTCAACAAAAATAAAATGCATTTGGCAAGCTAACTGGAGAGACTGGCAGTGCTGGATACATAAAAATAATATTTCAAGTGATTTGATGTAAGAATATCATCTGAATTGACAAAATACAATCGACATTTGACATTTTTGTACCCTTCATGTTCATAATGCGTTACACATGTATAATACTTTTTTAGTCTTTATGTTACCGTTGTTTTCAACCTGAACTCCATTTAAACATCTGTCTCGCCTTGAGAAGTAAAACATGAGCTTTAAATGTTCTCTACAATAGGGTGCATATTAAAAGTGCAGTAATGTATATAAAAAGGCTCTCTATATCTGGGTTATCATGGTTAGATTTTGTACAGCATATGCACAGCAGTTTCCACAGCAGAAAGTCCGTATCAAATAATAGCTCTACAAAAATGCATTTCAGGAGCAAGTTCCCATGTGAGTCCAAAAGTGCGCTAACGTCATCTCTAAATGTGAGCGATGTGATTCGATAAGCCGAGTTTAAGTTTGTCCACCTCTAGTGGGGTTTTCAGAATGTGACAGCACCTTAATATCCAGACACAGCTTTGGCTGGAAAAGAGATAAAGAGTGAGAGATGTGAAATGTGAAGAAATAAAGCAAAACAAAACAATACAATACACTGAAAAAAGACCCATACATAACAGTGAACTAAGGTAATACATTATTCAGTGCTAAAACAGAAAAAAAAAGTTAATTAAAACCCATGTGGTGCAAGTACCTACACTGCAAAAATGGTTTTTCGAAGTTGTAAATAAAACAAAGAATTTAAATACAATTTCTCATTTAATGTTACTTGCTTTTTTGTAATTATTTGTGAAATTTACTAGCAATTTCTAAATGAAAATTTTTCTACACCACTTTTTTCCCCCAGTGTAGTTTCTTTAACTCAACTGCCAATTTATTTATTTTTTATAACCCAAGAATTACCTTACTAAATAGTAGACAGGTAAACACTCTCCACCCTCCTTCTCTCTGTGCAGCATGTTACATAGAGAAAATGCTGAGTTAAACACACTTCAACACATGCATGTGCATGACACATGCAGCTCACTTTCATACAAATGCTGCTGAAACAGCAGAATGACACGGCCAGCTCAGGCGTTCAGTGATTAAATGGACTGGCTAATAAGCATAAAGTGTACTGTTATGCACTGACTCAAATCTTTCGTATAGTACAATATAATCATGGCACTGTCCACAAACAGAGTACGGTACAAAACATGGCAGAAGATCTTTCACCTTTTTTTCCCCCTTTAGTAGGTCAAACTAAATATTGCTGTTAATGAGGCGTTTCATTTTCTATTTAATTTCACTTTTTCGCAATATTTGGGACAGGTCTGAATATAGTTTAAAGTGCTAATGCGTATGATTTTGTTATTTTCTAGAAAGAAAAAAACTGAGAAATTTAAAATAGAGAATTCATATTGTTTTATATTATTATTCCTATATACATTTTTTATTATTTATATACACTGAACAAAATTATAAACGCAACACTTTTGTTTCTACATAGTTTAGCTTTGTTACAGTAACAGTAATGTACTGTCACTCAGTAAGAGCTCTGTAGATCAGTTTATTTATTTATTGTATTTAATTGTAGTCTTGTAGTCTTTAAAACCATAACCAGGATCAAGACTTCTAAGGTAAAACTAGCTAACTTTTCATGCTAGTTTAATTTAAAAGTTAGATAATGGTTTATAAAATAATCATCATGGCAAACCAAAAAAAGTGTGCCTTTAAGACTTAATGGGACCCAAAAGTGTACCGTATTTGTGGACAGTGCCTCATATACTGTAATAGCTCATAATAGGCACGTGTAAAATAGGAAATCAAGGCAATTCACTGATTTGGGGCATGCTGGGAAGCAGAACACACAATGCAGGTGGAGGTCATGCTCTTTCATGAACTGCACTGAAATAGCTTTTGAGAGATGCACACACATATAAAGTTTCCAAAGACGAAGGGCTGTGATTTTCTTTTCTTTTTTTTCCACAAAACCCTAACTGCCATTCTGTTCTTTATTTCCACGAGTCACAGACATCAAAACACAAGATCTTTGCAGATTACAGATGGCAAAGCAAGTGGTGTTTGGCAACACAACAGCATGTGCTGCCTTAGCGATGCCCTGAGTCTTTGTTAATTACAAACAAGTCACAAAAGACAGCATTTGTTTATGGCTTTTTAGGCTTACACAAAAAGCCAATTTGCACACAATTCACACACCTCTCCATCTCCAGATGTGGAGGCAGTTGTTAGAAGGGGGGCAATCTACACTATTCATGAAGTTACTACATACTACAGCACAAGCTCTGATGAAGCACAATCATGCAGCATGCCGACAGAAAAGGTGCCAAAACACACAGGGAACCATTAGCAAAAGCACATTTGCATGCTAAACGTTTTGCAGTTAGTTCTTACTTTGTTTTTCTCTGATTAGACAAAGGTGTAGTGAAATCCATTGCTCAGGGGAGGGGGAGCAGACTGAGCCGTAGAGACGGCAACAGGAGCGGGGGGAGGAAGAGGCGGAGGTGGTGGAGGTTGAGGGAGTGAGGTGGGACTGTTAACCGGGGGTGAAGCTGAAGCAGAAACAGAGGAGTGTAGTAACACACAGAGAGTTAGTGACACAGTTAAGTGCTACTACGCACTACAAACTGCTATTTAGGAGTACATAACTACAAGAGCGAGCTGAGGTCATCAAGTCAGTCAAATTTAAAGGGATACTGTAGTAAAAAATTGTTTCATCATTCATCATCTTCATGCCATTCCAAACCTGTATGAGTATTCTTCAATGTAACACAAAGGAGTACCTTTTAAACATTTTTTTCCCCATGATTGATAATGGTAAGAAATATTTCTTGAGCACACAGAGGACTGAAGAAATACCATTACAGGAATAAATTACATTTTAAAATACAACAAAATAGAAAGCAGTTACTTTGTAATTGTAATATTTCACAATATTATAGTTTTTACTGTATTTTAATCAAACAAGTGCAGCCTTTATGAGAATAATAGACTAAACACTTTTAAAAAGACTTGAAATCTTATCGAACGGTGGTTTATTTTCAGTGAATCAGACGATCCAGTTCACAAAACTGGTCTGAATCTCAATCATCTGATTCTCAAGTTCAGCTCACTGACTCGATGATACGGTTGCAGCGGTTAACAGCTCACTGAAGGAGAATATTCTCAGCTAATAATGACTTTGGTCTGCTCTTTGTTTGACTTCAGAAGATTTGGAATATAGCACACAAGTCACATGGACCACCTTGATGGTGCTTTTGCGTATTTTTTTAAGCTTGAAATCCTCGTTTTGTTTCTTTGTTAGAAATAAAGTCATATGGGTTTGGAACGATAGAAGAATGAGTAGCACATTTTCACTAGGCAACTATTCCTCTAACCAAGGTGGTCTACCAGCTAACCAGGATGTACCTGGCCCCTCCAGCTGGTAGTCTACCGAAACCAGTTTGGATCAGTTGGTATCAATTTTAGCTACATCTGGACTTTTCTACCATTTGTATTCATAGAACAGACATGACAAAAGCAAACAGAGGGTTAGTGGAACCAGGCAATGTCTCAAGCCAACGCATGAGCAGCACAATTCATTCTACATGCCACAGCTCTGACTATTTTAGTTGATTTCTGCACTCATAAACTCAAAATAAATGCACAAAGTGGTGCTGTGGGTGATCAAAACCCTGACCTGCCTTCACAGATGAGATCCCTCACATACGGTATTCTGACATGTTCTCCAATGGAAACACTGTGATAGTTGTTGACTACGCCATACCGCCTCACACATTATGATCCATCACGTCAGGACGAATTGACTGTAAAACTGTGTGACTAAGAGAGACACGCTGCTCCCTGTCTGAAGGTTAGACCTGGCAGAGTGAGTGAGGCCTCTGTAAGAAGTAAAGATGAAACGATGGTGTGCTTTTATGCCAGTTCAGAAAGATGTTCAAAGTGCTGCCACGGGATGCAGAGTGAACAAGCCCCAGTGCATATTCAACTGGGTCATTGATCGGCTCTGAAAAAAATGGCCTCATCAAGAGATTCCACCCAGCCTGAAAGATCCGACATGTCTCCCAATTAGCAAGCATCTTTACTCGTCAGATCTGCGCTAATAAGGAATAATGTTCAGTTATTAACGTTGCACTTGATAGGCTTGGCTTTGCTCTTTCTTCTTCCTCATCACGCCTCCAATGCCGATGATTTGAAACAGGGTGGACCGTTTCTCCCAATGTTCACAGTTAATCTGTAGTTGTCAATGTGATGATTTAGGAAGTTTTATTGACACTGTCAGATTTGCATTACAAATAGCTATTTCGGAAGTTTTTCTTCACATTTACCTTGATCTTTTCAGAGTATTTTAACTTGTCAAGGTGTACTGCAGAGCATATCTGAAATTAATCTATTCAAATGGAGTTCTGGCAGTCATACAGGTGTGAACTCTTGATTGTATGTTATTATGGGACTCTCTTTCAGCATCCTTAACACGCATTGTGCACACTAAATTCCCTGTCCTTGCTCTTGCCATTTAACAAGATAATTACAATAAGTTACTACTAAAAACAAATTTACTGTGATTTGACTTAAAAATTTAATGTAAAACACAGCATGTGCTACCATGGAAAATGGAGTGTATTAACAAGATAATTTCAGGAATCAGTAATAATAATAATTTAATGAATCAGTTCAGGTTGGTAGTAATGCTGCTGGTTAGTTTACCTGCCACTTGCTTGCCCTTGAGCGAGGCCTCTGATGCTAAGGCATAGGACATGGTGATGATTCTCTCTTGCTCCTGTAGAGCCGAGTCTATGTCCGGCAGCACCGGCTTGTCTACTGCTGCTGGAGGAGGTATATTCTGGACACTTATATGCACACAAAAAACAGGTACATCAGAGTAAACTCTCAGAGAAAGGTGTAACAAAAATGTTCTCAGCATTTTAGGGTCAGTAAGTTGTTGTTGTTTTTTTAAAGAAAGAAATTCATACTTTTTATTTAGTAAGAATTCATGAAATTGATCAAAAGTGACAGTAAATATATTTATAATGTTACAAAAGATTTTTATTTCAAATAAATGTTTTTCTTTGGAACATTCTATTCATCAAAGAATCTATTTTCAACATTATAAGAAATAACTCTTGAGCACCAAATCAGAATGACTTGTGAAGGATCATGTAACACTGCAGTCTGCTTTGCCATTAGAAGAATAAATTACATTTTAAACGCTATTTAAAGGAATAGTTCAGCCAAAAATGAAAATTCTGTCATTAATTACTCACCCTCATGTCGTTTCAAACCCGTAAGACCTTCGTTCATCTTCGGAACACAAATTAAGTGTTATTTTTGATGGAATCTGCGAGCTGTCTGACCCTGCATAGACAGCAACACAACTGAAATGTTCCCAAGTTCAGAGACGTAGCAAGGAGATCTGTAAAATAATCCATGTGACATCAGGGGTTCAACCGCAATTATACGAAGCTACCCATGTGACATAGAGCATATATTCCAAGTATTCTGGTGGTATACAATATGGTTTGGTGAGAAACAAACTGAAATGCAAACTTCAAATGACTTTATTCAACAATTCGTCTCCTCCGCATCACCCTGGTGCCATTTTGGAGAATATCCGCTGGATGTAAACAGCGTATGCTGTTCTGTGTCAGCTGCGTCACGCCGGATCTGTTTCCTACGTTGTTGTGATTTGATCTGAACAGAAACAGCGTATCCGCGTGATGCAGCTGACACAGTCCAGCTGATATTCTCCAAAATGGCACTACAGGGTGATGCGGAGGAGACTAATTGTTGAATAAAGTCGTTATTTTTTTTTCTTTTGCGCACAAAAAGTATTCTCGTAGCTTCGTATAATTGCGGATGAACCCCTGATGTCACATGGATTATTTTACAGATCTCCTTGCTACGTTTCTGGACTTGGGAACATTTCAGTTGTGTTGCTGTCTATGCAGGGTCAGACAGCTCGCAGATTCCATCAAAAATATCTTAATTTGTGTTCCGAAGATGAACGAAGGTCTTACGGGGTTTGAAACGACACGAGGGTGAGTAATTAATGACAGAATTTTCATTTTTGGGTGAACTAACCCTTTAAGTAGAAACCTGTTCGTTTAAATTGTACAAATATTTCACAATATTAATGTTTTTATGGTATTTTTGATCAAATAAATGCATCCCTGGTGAGCATAAGATGCTTACTTTGAAAACATTAAAAGAAAAAAAACCTTATAAACCCTAAACTTTTGAATGATAGTGTATGTAATGGCAACCATCTATAAAGTTGACAATAAGAGCAGCTGTGTTAAATGAGACTGATCTGCCAGTACCTAGACTTAGCAAGGATGCTCTTGATTTGTTCCACTTTACGATGTCTGGCCTCTATTTCCTGAGGGCTAAGGGGCTCCTCTGGATCCAGGTCCACATAACGCTCAGGGATGGCCACCTTTTGTGGCTTTGCAAGCTATACAGGCATTGAGACCAAACACACACCATCAATCATTTAATTCTGAAATCTAAGGTCCAATCATTTAAGTTTTAAATGATTATATTATATATGTAATGTTTTTGTTCTATTAAAATAAAAAGCCTAAATTTTTTTATAATATGAAATGATCAAAGGCAAAATAATGTAACATGTTTTAACATTCAACAATACTTCATAACTGAGATTTGCCCTTTAAACTCAGGATAGTTCAACCAAAAATGATTATGTCAGCATTTACTCTCTCTCATGTGATTTCAAACCTGCATGACTTTCATTCAAAAATGGAGAATTTAGGCAGAGTTTTAAATACGGACAGTACTGAATTTCTACTGCATCTTTTCTCCATAAAACAAAAGCGCATGGTGACTGAGGCTTTTCTGTTCCACACAACAAGGAAATTATGTCAGACTCTTTTTTTTTTTTTTTACTATCCCTTTAAGCAGTAGGGTTACCTCTTTGCTGAGATCCAGCTGGTAGTCCAGAGGCTCCAGATCCAGTTCTCTCATGGGTGTGCTGCTTAGGGTAAGCCATTCGTCTGAGTGAGAGCGCTGTCTCTCTTTGTGCTCGACTGGTCTCTCTTCACCCTGCACGGCCCGCTCAAGAAGATGCCAATCAAAGTCCTGCTCTCTCCTCCACTGAAGGCACACAAACACACAGAGCCCTGAGATGGCGATCTTGACCTCAGACACATCCAACTCAGGAAATGAAAATGTTATATTTTGGTTCTGAAATGGTCTTCTCCTGATTTACAGGACAGGTAAAGTGTTGAAAAACATTTCCAGTTACACTAGGACAGATGCGACAGATTTTAACTAAGAGAGTGTTTTTTGCTTTCAAAACCCTCTGAACCACATGTGTAGTACACATAGTATTGAAGCCAAAATTACCTCTGTGCTCCACATATCAGCTTACATCCAACATTAGTTTTTTAAATGAAATAAACTTTTTAAAGAGGACAGCCCTGCACATAAACAACACACAAAACTGGGTTAAACTGCAACCTTGAGCGTAATGGTATATTGTCCCAGTGCGCTCCTGTACCTCTGTACCATGTACAAGTGATTGGACTGATTGCGTGTGAAGTGTCTCATGTTCAAGCTCTCAAACCGTAGCGTACAGCACTCCTGCAAACCAAGAAAGATGCAATAAAAAGCTCCATCAGTGACTTCATTTACATGCTTCATTCCCAGGCTTTATTGTGCTTACTGGAAAGAAAATAAACCAGTGTGTCGTGAAATAAACTGTGGCTTCACATTCACAGTAGAGAGAAAAATAACTATTGTCTTTTACTTTTTTTTTACTAGCAAAGTGTTTATTTTTATGTGCAAAAATCTACATAAATGATAAAGAAAGCAGAGCTGTGCAATTATTTTCTTTTTGCAAATTATGCTACAATCATATCATATCATACAATTATATCATTATGAACGTACAGTACAGTAGAGTGATTAAAGAAAAACATGCTCAGTAAGTAGTACAATTATAAACACAAGTCATTCATACATTACCCAGGCCATTCATTGTGTACACATTCAATACATTTTTGTAAAACAAGGAGTAAAATTATAAAAGTATATATTAAAAAAAACTGGATAAGCTAAATTGGATTTTAATGTCACATTTTGTAGAATGACAATTCAATTAATGAATAAAAAACTAAATGATCATTTATTCTGTGCACTCAAATCAGACCCAAATTGCAGGGGAAAAAATGATTTTGCGAGTTTTGTAAGACTTATTATTAGAAAGCCGAATGTGAAAAGTGAAACTGGGGGAAATTAGTGTAAAACAAAAAAATAAATGAGTGAGGTAAGCACAACAGAGTCTGGTTTCACACTTCAGTTATGCTATAATTATTGCGGTTGAGTGAGGAACAGCTAAAAGGTTTGAGAGCTTGTGCTTGAAATTTAGTTTAGTTTATGAGCCCACTAATACAGCAGACCCCATTCCCCATAACTTTGAGCATTAGGTTATTGTTATAGAGAGGTTAAAAGAGCATTTTGATTTTAGTGTTGGGTTTTGCCTATTCAAAGACCCGCAAGTAAAAGCACACTACTTTGATTCACTATCCCAGATGAACATGGGAGCTGCTCCCTTGAGGATCTATATCCCAAGGTTAAAATTAAACACTCAAACAAGTCATTAGAACATTTTGAAACTACATTAAGAGTGTAATGAAAATCAGTAGCATATCAACTTTCCTTATTAATCCTCTAAACACATTAGTCCATGTCTTTCATTGGCAAATAGCATAACTCCCACCTGTTCTTATTGAGCAACCTATCAATGTGGCCCAACAACATGTAATAAAATCTCTCACGTCTCCTTCTGCAACACATCCAACATATCCACTTACCTGCGGCAGACACTACTTCAGTGAAATGCTGATCGTGTTAACACCAAATCTTACAGTTCTCCATCAAAACAGTGTAAATAGCTGAATGTGCATTTATGTCAGGGCGATAGTTCTCTCTGGAGGATAATGTGTCATTGTGCTCTAACGTACTGATCCCAGGTCTGCAGACACAGGTCTGGATGTGGAGGAGGAGGAGGCACGAGATGAGGATGCCTGCCACTCGCCCTGGCTGAGCGTTCTCTTGCGCTCCCGTACGAGAGCCTTTTGGTGACGCTTCATCCTCTCCAGCTGCTCTTCGGTGCTCATGCGGCCGCGCTGCTGCACGGGCTCCCCAGAGTACAGCCGCTCCAAGGCACTCTTTGGTCTCTCCTAGGAGACACCAGTGGACGTGTTAATAATGCTGAAACAAACAGCACCAAAGAACAGTGTTGAGAGAGAAATTTGCAACAATTTGCAAAAGGGAGGAGAAGAAGGAAAAAGAAAAATGTAATAAAGAGAGACTGAACCATCTAGGACTCAATCAATATTCACTAGATGTCTGTCTATGCCTATACTATATTCTTATTGTTCACTTGCAATTAACTTATTAAATTAAAAAGAAATGAACTTTTATTCAGCAAGGATGCAATTAAATTTATCAAAATATTTTTTTCAAATAAATGCTGTTCTTTTGACCTTTCTATTTATCAAAAAACCCTGAAAAAATATATCATGGTTTTCTTTTTCTTTTCAACATTGATTATAAAAAGAAACATTTCTTAAGCACCAAATCTGCATTAGAAAACATTAGAATGATTTCTGAAGGATCATGTGACTCTGAAGACTGGAGTAATGGCTGCTAATTCAGCTTTGCCACCAGAGGAATAAATTACATTTAAATAGAAAACTGTTATTTTAAATAGTAATAATACTTCAGAATTGTAATATGTTTACTATATTTTGATCAAATAAATGCAGTTTTGGTGAGCATAAGAGACTCCTTTCAAAAACATTAAAAAGAAATCTTACTGACCCCCAAAATGTTAAAGAGTTGTGTACATTTAATCATAATATATTATGTATATTTCATATAGCTAAATATATTTGTAACTAATTGAATGTAATTTAATTGTTTTTGAATGAAGTGTGTTGTTATTAATGTGTGTAAAACAGTCAGTCAGAAAGAGAGAGGCAGAAGGAAAAATAAGGAGGGGGAAACAAACAAAATATCAGGAATAGAGGAGTTCATTTTGAAGCTCTGCTGTGCTCATTTCTGTTAACATTTTCTGCATGAATCCATCAGGGTGGGAGACACACACTGTGTTTACAGTCTGCATGGCAACACTACCGCAGTAATTCATTCGTAAAATACAGTCTGGTCCAAGCCCACACTGGCTGCTTTTATTTCATGTGCTCAGCGGTTTGTACTGCTGCTGCATCTAATCAACCTGCTGCATGTCAGCTCTGCCAAAACAAACTATGACGGACCCTTTATGTCCCCCTGCCTCTCGAGAGACACTTTCAGGACTTGTTTGGCTTCCTACCTTCAAGCTTGTGGTGGTGAGTCCTCTTCTGAGGGTGACAAACGATGAAATGTTTGATGACTGGTTCAGTCTTGAAGATGAGCCTGTCAAACCTAACAGATGTCGAACTGGATTAGACAAATCTTTAAGGGTTTCTTAGGAAATCCTTTCTAAAATTCTGAGCTGAAAGTTCATACTTTCAAATAACATGGTTAATTGTCAACTGTTATTGCTTCCCACTGAGCAGCCTGATGTCACGTTCACACTTGGTACGCATGCTTAATTCAGCTACAGTATGGGCAATTTTGGCCATGTGGACTCTCTTAAAGCACACATTTTACTAGTTTTAATATGTCTACAAACAATGTCCAGCAGTATACAGACTACCGTTTATAAGATTGGGGTCTGTACGTTTTTTTTTAATGTTTTTGAAAGAAGTCTCCTACTGTGTGTTCACCAAGGCTGCATTTACTTGATCAAAAATACAGAAAAAATCCCTCAAGGAATTTTAAGCTGAATTTTCAGTAGCCATTACTCTAGTCTTCAGTGTCATATGATTCAGAAATCGTTCTAATATGCTAATTTTGGGCTTAAGAAATATTTCTGATTATTAATGTTGAAAATAGTTGCGCTGCTTAATTTTTTGTGGAAACCGAGATGCATATTTTTCAGTATTCTTCAATGAAATTAAAGTCCAAAATAAATTTGAATTAAAACTGAATTAAATTTTACTATCACTTTTGATCAATTTAATGCGTCCTTACTGAATAAAAGTATTAATACATTTTTTAAAAATCATACTGACCCCAAAATTTTGAACAGCAGTGCATCAAGGGAAAATTCTGTAATTTTTTCTAAAAGTCATGAAACAACAGCATCATTTCAATTTAAAATTATGTACAGTTTTGTGTTAAACAGCATTCTGTGATAAAAATGATGGTGGTGGAAGATATATTTTTGCCATTTTTGGCTCCTTTGTAATGTTTAGGCTAAATTCACAGCTTCTTATACAGCCAAAACGCACAAAATTAAATAATATTTCCACACTTGCAGAATTTGTCAAAATGTATGCTCCCATTGGGAATGATGGAAATTAGGAAGTGCCTCCACAAGCTACAAGGAAAATATACAAAATAATTAGCCATTTACTAGCGGACTGTTTTCACATCATCAATAAACTGTACTGTGATTTACATGAACCAAACCTTGCATCCTCCTTTTCAATCGAGTGCTGTACACTAGTGAGGACCCGAGTCTGTGAATCTGAGACTGTGGCTGTCATGTACGGGTCTGTATATACCTCTGTTTGGTAGAGTTTGGTAGCCACTACCACGGCTCAAGCCCCCAATTTGTCCACCAACTCCCAGTAGTTCAGGCTCACTCAGGAACGCTCGTATCTCAACCTGGAGACCCAGGAAAATAGAGTTCAGAACTATATTGACATTTTACCATATACACAGATGAAAACTGTCTGTATCGGAGTACCACTGAGTGGCACAAACCTTATGATCTCCATTAGTGTACTGCCCAAACTCACGATCACGCTTCCGCTCATCAGACTGTCGTTTAAGGCCCCGGACTGATGTGTGGCGGATGACAGAGGTTTCTTTGGGGAGCGGGGGCACAGCCGGGGGGTGTTCATCTGGACTGTAGAGGTGAGGGAGAGGGGGTCTGGGTGGAGCATCCTCTTCAGGCTGTATTGTGTAAACATGAAATTTCCATAAATACAGATAAATGAACTGAAGGAGTATCTTGATTACTTTGTTTCACTCACCCATTTTGGCTTGTGCGCTGAATGTGAGAGCTGCAAGGGCTGCTGGGTAGACTGCACTGGGCTGAGATGGGGGCTGGGCTGAGCAGCTTTCAGTTCACCCATGGATGGGCTTGCAGTGAGAGAAGGCACTGCGGACAATGACGCTGAAGGCACAAGTTTTCTCTCTGGGTCAGGCAATTATTCCACCGGTTGACATCATAAGGGCAAAAAAAAAACATGCATGATTATCAGTTGCATGTGGATGCAGTTAGCAGAGTTGCATGTGGTGTTGTTTGACCTCAGTACCTCGTTCTGTGTTCCAGTGCATGGGGGTGATGGCAGGCAGGGGCCCGCTCTCACCTGGATTCCGAACAGAGTCAATGGTCACTTTGTAGTTGGCTTTACTGGAGCTTAGGCCTGCAAGCACATCCTCGATCCGCCACAGCTCCTTCCTCAGCTGACATTTCTCCTGCTGCACAGTAGCACAGAATTTAATAATTTTTACTCATTTTGAATTAAATAAAACAGAGTAAAACAGAAATAACTGAACAAAAAAATAAACATAAGAGACTGTAACAGGAAGGAACATAATACAAGTGTGCATACTTCAGTATTTAAGTAAATGTAATTTATTTAGAAAAAGTTATGTAATTATGCAATTATATAAAACTCAATAAATTATTAGATACACCAACATGCACCTAAATTAAGTTAAAGTGTAAAAATTAATATCATGTATAATATTATATGTAATATATAAAAATCAGAATATAGAAATGTAACATTATGCTTGGGAATAAATTTTTCTTTATTTCATTACATTCATGTGTATAGAATACTAAGAATGAGTGTCTGTCTTTCAGTATTTAATATAATGTAATGTAATATAATATAATATAGAACAACAATTTCTTTAACAGAAACTAAAAGCTAAAAATTAGAGTAGAACAGAATAGAACAGAAGTAACTTCATACAACTGCAATCACTCTTAAAAAAATATGACAACCCTAAGGCTTGTCTTTGATTTTCTAAGAGGCTAATTTAGAGCTCAAAGGGGCACCGAAGAAAGGATAGGATTTTCTCTTATTTGTATTTTCAGAACAAGCCATAATTTATTGACTGTGTCTGTGTGTGCTCTCACACAAACACTTGAGGAATCAATAATCTTAGACACTCTATGCCTTGTTCTTATGGCTCTATCACACTGATCAAAAACTGACATTAGATCTTCACTCCAGCTCCGAGAGCTCCATATCTCTTTCATCACTTTGTTCTTTCTCTATCAATTACCGGACTGAGAGGTGCATGCTGAATAGAAAAGGAGGCTGACACAGTTTAACATCTTCTGATACGCTCTGCCGCTCAAACAGTATTGATACTTTAGTTTGGAAGCATGCATTAAAGAGATAAAAGCTGAAATACAATTTTGAGCTTGAGTAAAGAAAGACTTCTGTCCTCCATTTTAGATTTAAAAAAGAAAGAGTTAAAACTGCTGGGTCTCATTTTTCGACTTCTTTCTCTGGTTCTGACCTGAGAGAGAGCACTGTGGGTCTTCTGGTCTTGAAGGGCTGAACGCAGTCTGTCCACATCTCTCTCCAATTGGCTGTACTCTGCCCAAGTGTTCTCCATCTCCTGTTTAACACAGAACAAGCCTCAATACGAGTGCAATGAGCTGATATTAGTATTGCATTGATACTCATTCCCAGCCTAATGTGATTTTAGTATTTCATGGACGTTTCATGGAGTCTTCTGCGAGTGTATTAACACAGGTATGTGTCCTCACCGTGGACACTTGTGAGATGTCCGCCCTGATGTGGACCACGTCCTCCCGTAACAGCTTCTGTTGATAGGCGATCTTCTCTACATGGGCGGGCTGATCCTGGTACTGCTCCATCTGCTGATGGGAAACATCCAGAACTGACTCAAGCTTGTCCTAGATTTGGGTGAGAAACAGAAGATGATCCAGATGAAGTAGTTAGAAAAAAAAAAAAACTAGCACTAGGGACCAAGACATCAGGTTGGACACTAGGGCTGCACAATTGTTCAAAGATTATGATTGTCATCTTCTGTGATTAACTAATTCTGAAAACAGCATTCCACTGAGGTCTTAATTTTGCTTTATGTAGTAACATCTAAATTACATATCTAAAACTGGTTATATTCAAGTCAAAAATTTATGTATTGTGGTGAAATGGATCTGACTGTATTAGGTTACAACAGTAATTTAAAAGGGTTAGATAAAGTAGAAATACATCTTCAAGCTAACAATTGCACAATACCACTTTTCACTGTGAGTGAAATTTTCAAGCGACTGACATGACAAACCACATTTTATCGGCAAAGTTGGAATTCAGCAGCCATTATTTTAATGGAAATTATGATACATTTTTAACAGGATTCTTTAATGAATAGAAAGTTAAAAAAAACAGCATAGCAACTTTTAACATTACTTTTTAACATGATCTGTACAGTCACTTTGGATCAATTTAATACCTCCTTGCTAAATAAAGTATTAATTTCTTAAATAAATAAATATATATATTTTTTTATAAAACTTACTGACCCCAAGCTTTTAAACAGTAGTGTATACAGTATAATTGATATGAAATGACAGTTATGATTTCTGTGTAGCCCTTTTGAAAACTAAGACAACTTTTTACCATTCAGTTGATACACAATTCGATATCCTCAAAGCCTGATTTAGAATACTGAATTTAGATAAGGAAAAAAACAAAGCACCTTATCTTCTTTGAGTGTGCGTATCCTGGCCTCCAGCTCCTGTAGGATCTTGTCTTGCTCGCATAACCTGCTAAGCTTTACCTGAAGAGAGAATCACAAGCAGCAATAAAACATGGTCACCAGTCATGACTGAACTGAATCCATTAAAGCATACAAACATATCAAACAGATTGCCGACGGAATACATTCTTCCACTATTCCATATTCAACATTTCCTACTATTGAAGATATTCATTAGCATAAACTCCATGCACCCAAGACAATTCTGGTGTCATTATTTGCAGAAACAAACAGCATTTTCTCAGTGAAAAACGAGTTAGGGTAACGTGTGCGCGTGCAGGAGAAACAGAAGCTGCAGAAGTGTCTTGTTTACAGTCTTCTTCATATTCTCCGCTCTGTTTATCATTCCCTCCAATTAATTATTAAGCTGTTTTATTTTACAGCCATATATTGTTGTTTTAACAACATTAAACATTCATCATGCAGATAAATCCACCAACAAAATTCTTATAAATTGTTAAACTGAAACAATGTTAATGATGAAAAGCTCGGGACTTCCAGATTATTTACCTCCAATCAAACGAAAAACAGTGAGAGCACTGGAATACAAAAATCAAACTGAAAAATTTACAAGGCCAAAGTATAAAACTCCCATTGCATGTATTTTTCTCTTTAAATTGAGCATTGAATATAAATCCTTGTCAATAATTTCAATTTCTTCTAGACACAGAGAGAGCTTGCTTCTCCCCACAGCGTGTACCACTGCCTCACTCCGATGCCTGTGTTTACTTGCACAAATTCAGGCTTGACTAACAGCTTTCTGTGCAAAGCAGGGAAGACAAGGGGAGACAAGGGTCAGAAATTGGGCTTTAATAAATAGAGAGCAGAACTTACATCTATGTCACTTTCAGCTATTTTAACAGGCCGAGGTGGTCGATCTTTAAGCGAGTCACGTCCAGTTACCTGTTGACAAAATGCAAAAGCTCATACACTTTCAAAGACATTAGCATCAACATCAAGACTAAGAAGCTGTAAGGTTGCATCGATCAAGCAACCATGAAGACTGCACAGCCTATTGACAAAAGGTTGTTGAAATCATGTAAACAAACTGTGCTTTGGCAAACTAAAAGAACAAGAATATCTCGAGATGAACAAAACAACAACAAAATAAACCAACACTGTTTTTGGAAGCTCTGCGATGTGTTTACGTACAAACAGCAACTGGGGTATTTGGGGATAGCCGCAATGATCCACCCAAAGCGCTGCTCTTGATTTGGCAAAGTATCAATACTTTTCATCAGTGGTGAACTTGACATGAACCATGTGGGAGTGAAGCCTACGACAAGCTGAAACCCACTGAAAAACTATAATTTAGTGATAAACAGGAGTTGGCTAAAGGATACTTTATAAGTAAGAGCAGCTGTCTGTAAACGTTCACTCATTAACAGAAAACCTCAGACTCTAGGGTAATTCCTTGATGCTTAATGTCATTTCATGGATGTCTTAATGTCTCCTTAACAAAATAATTAGCGCAGTCTTTACATAATGTTCACAATTGCAATCCAATTGCTATAACAATCCCTAAATAAACCAACACTGTTTTTGGAAGCTCTGCAATGTTTTTACGTACAAACAGCAACTGGGGTAATTGGGGATAGCCGCAATTATCCAACCAAAGCGCTGCTCTTGATTTGGCAAAGTATCAATACTTTTCATCAGTGGTGAACTTGACATGAACCATGTGGGAGTGAAGCCTACGACAAGCTGCAACCCACTGAAAGACTATTATTTAGTGATAAACAGGGGTTAGCTAAAGGATACTGTATAAGTAAGAGCAGCTGTCTGGAAACGTTCACTCATTAACAGAAAACCTCAGACTCTAGGATAATTCCTTGATGCTTAATGTCATTTCATGGATGTCTTAATGTCTCCTTAACAAAATAATTAGCGCAGTCTTTACATAATGTTCACAATTGCAATCCAATTGCTATAACAATCCCTCATCAGAGCAGTATTGATATCTTACCAAAAGAACAACATTGGGCATCCTTGGAAAAAAAACTAAAACAATTAAGCGGTCAAAATAGCACATGCACATGGGTATGACTCTACAGAGCATGTGCGAGGCACACAACCATAACGGTCCAGGGGCGATTACATCACTACAGCAGGTGAAGGCATGAAGTGGTCACATTTTGTTACACACACGATCCTTACATTCAGACAGAATGCACTGTGTACCGAATAGATGAGAGGTTCAATACTTTTCATCTGTTTGAAATGAAGATACAAGGGTTTTTGTGAACTGTGGGTATAAATGTAGGCAATGTATACATTTGAATGATGAATTAATAATTAAAGCAAGTAATGTGCTCCATATCAAACAGGATCAGAAAAGTCAGTGAAAATAAAAAGTTTGTGATAAAAGTCTATATAAGAGCAGTTAAGGCCACTGATGCCACTGCACATAGGGAAAACAATTCAGAATCAGATTCTAGCATTCATGTGACCTTCAATTGTCAAAATCTCCTCCTGGGAACCATAACTAGTCACTACATCCACGTAGTAGCCACAAAGACTTTTATTGCTAAATTGCAAAATGTTAAAAATGTGCAAAATTAAAATCACACATTGCTCTCCGTGAATATTGACTGGTGTAAATGTATTTAATCATCGATTTCAAAATTAACTCTACACATCCTTCAGGGTTAGAGAGCAGAGCAGCTGTTATAGAGAATAAGGAGAGGGGCAAAATCAGGAAGAATTTATGCCTCGAGGAGAAAGGGGGAGAAGATGAGAGGAGGAGGAAGGTGAAGGCAGATCCACTAGAGCCCACCTTCAGGTCTAGATACTCCAGGTCCTTCTTCAGCTTGATGTAAGTGTCATCTGTCTTTAAATGGGAAATGAAGAAAGAGGTCACATGACACATGGTTGAGAGTACAGCATGCAAGACTGAGACTGATTTTCATGCGCACTGTAAATCCAAATGCTGGTACAGTACTACACATTGTGCAAGTGCATGTAATGTGATTGACAAGTCATTCATCACTCTGAGTTATGATGTTTAAAAAATATAAATAAATACACTACAGTTGAAACGTTCGCGGTAATTTTTCTTTTTAACTTTAGAAATTATTACTTTTATTTAGCACGGATGTATTAAATTGATCCAAAGTAACAATAAAGATTTTTATAATGTTACAAAATAATGCTACAAAAGTTTTACATTTCTATGCTGTTTTTTTTACTTTCTATTCACCACAGAATGCTGAAAATGTATCACAGTTTCCAAAAGCTACTTAAGCAACTGTTTTCAACATTGATAACAATAAGAAATGTTTGAGCAGGAAATCAGCATATTAGAATGATTTCATGCCAAAATGAAGACTGGAATAATAGCTGCTCAAAATTCAGATATGTCATCACAGAAATAAATTACATTTTAATTTATAATAGAAAAGAGTTATTTTAAAATGCAATAATATTTCACAATATTACTGTTTTTACTGTACTTTTGATCAAATAAAATATTTACCAGGTATATCTTTCAAAAACATTTAAAGAAAACCTACTGATCCCAAACTTTTGAACAGTAGTGTTCATAATACTTGTTTTTTTTTGTTCCTATTTACAACAAGCAAAATTACTGACAATTTAGTATTTGAGAAGACCACTGAATGTCCCTAAACTTCAATCTGGACTCTAAAACTGATGCACTGTGGTAGGTACTGGGGAAAAAACAGTACAATTAAGTATTTTACAACAATGCTGTAAACGGTGTAGACTAGTAGTTATGTTTTAATGTGCAACCCTGTAACTGACAGATCTAGAGAGAGTGGAATGTGTCACAGGCTAGCTTATGTCTATTCTATCAAATGTTCACACTAATTCTTGGGTACTCTTCTGACTTTTCATATCCAAAACTGCATATAAATAAGTAAACCAGTGATGTTTTCAATACGTTTTCTGTTCATGAAAACATTCAATCATGTGAATGCAGGCAAGTCAACAAGCAACATGCTGTTAACTGAGGAGCAATCTGATAATCCAAAATACAAGAGGAAGAAACTAAAAAAAAGTACAAATAAAAGCAAAACGTAGAAGAAAAGATCTTCAAAAACACAAAACAGGCTGTTACGTCACTTTGTGCAGCCCAAGCCTTAACATATTCGACTCCATGCTAACGGAGAGCTAACACCAAACCAACGCAACCATAACTAGAACCAACAGCATACGATAGTAAGATGGGCACGGTATGGGAGTTAGGGAAAGGAGGGCATGATTTGCTCAGATGGGAGGGGGGCTCAGGATGGGTTGAGGGGAGAATGTGACCCTCTAACCTGCAAACTGGGGCCTGAGAGGCCGTTGTGCTGGTTCTGCAGGTGTGTGAATGTGTCGCTGCGCACGCTGGCCATCTTGGCCCGGTGTCTCCTGAGCTGGATGAGCAGCAGGGTCAACTCCTCCAGTTTTCTTTCTATCTGGTTTTTGACAGATTCTGTGAATCTTTCTGTTGGAGGCATGCAATTAGAGAGTTCACACGAGTCCTGACGAATGCAGAGCAGAAATGGTAGTGACAGTATGTTAACTTGTAAGAGGCACAGAGTCTTCTGTGACTGCTGCGTGTGAATGTGGCGCTGGGAGCGGCGCTCTCATGTGGGTAGTACTGTATTATCTACACTACTATTCATAACTTTGGGGTCTGTAAGTTTTATGTTTTTGAAATAATTATCTTATGCTCAACAAGGCAATATTTATTTGATCAAAAATACAAAAAAAATTATATTGTAAAACATTATTACAACTTAAAATAACTTTTTTATATATTTTTTTTAACATGTAATTTATTCCTGTAATGGCAAAACTAAAGCCATTACTCCAGTCTTCAGTGTCACATGATCCTTCAGAAATCATTCTAATATGCTGATTATACTGTATATCATATACTGTATGCTGTGCTGAAGAAATATTTCTTATTAGACTTGTGCCGGTATTCGGTAATGCGATATATCACGGTAATGAATATGCACGATATTGTTATCGTGGGCACTTCTAAATACCGTGAATAATTATATATTACAAATTATTCCGAATTTTGAATGCATTTTAAGAATACTTTTCCCATAAACTGGTCAAAATGCACAACACCGCTGTATTGCCTTAATTACGAATTATGAATTCTTACAAACATGCAGCTTTTACGTCACAAGACATTTATTGATGGACTAGAGTCATTTGTAATATTTGTGGATTATTGTGATTTTTTTTATCAGCTGTTTGGACTCCCATTCTAACAGAATTCTGACGGCACCCATTCACTGCAGAGGATCCATTGCTGAGCAAGTGATGTAATGATACATTTCTCCAAATCCATTCTGATGAAGAAACAAAATCATCTACATCTTGGATGGCTTGAGGGTAAGTACATTTTCAGCGAATTTTCATTTTTGGGTGAGCTATTCCTTTAAATACCTAGACCACAACATACAACTACAGTTTATTAATGCCATCAGCATTTCCAGTGACTTAAATTCGTATCTTAAAAAGGATCCAAACATGTTTGGGGATAGAAAACAGTCCTCAAAATTATTTTCTTAAAAGTTAAGTAGCAGCTATTTTAAATACACAACCAATCAGCACAAAGAGCAAGGCTGCAGTCACACTAAGCCCACAAAATTACTTTAGACCCCAAAATACTGAAAACCAGGCAATTTTTAAGTTTGTATGTGCTAGAATTCAGCCAAGAGGTCCATTTGTGATATTCAGATGCTCTTTAGGTCCGTTATAACATTAATACCTTTGTGCTTTGTGAATTTGCAGGTCAGAGCTGCACCAAACTTAACCTTTGGTACACAGCGAAACACAAGTTTTTTTTTTGCATGTGCTTGTGTTGCCAGGCCTCCCGAGTTAAATAGAAATGAATGGAACTCAAAATCAAGAATGACTGTAGCTTTAACCCTGATAGACGGCTGACGTAATTGGACAGGATCAGTTAATTAGATCAGTTAAACTTATTAGTAGTGCAGAAACCATTAACTTCACTTTTGTTGTGCATGAAATTTTCATAGTTGGAAATATCAATCATCACATTATATAAATGCAAAGGTAAAAGAACATAATTATCAAAGAATTAGGCAAATAAAGTTTAAATGACATTAATAAGGGTTAAATAAAGGAAATTATACAGCGAGGAGAAATTAGTGGAGCAAAGAATTAATACTATACGGGATCACTTTCTTAAAACGTCTAAAACTTTAAGCCAGTTCTTAAAAAAAAAAATCAACGGCTTTCATTATGCATTTGACTTTTTTTAATGTGACAATTTTCCAAGAAAGAATATGTAAGGGAACTTGTAAGGACATGTGTAGGGGATCTGTAAAGATAAAATCCATAGGGATCTGACTGGACCATGAAGGAGTGAAAAATATTACACAGTGATATTATTGGGTAATATTATTTTTCTCCAACAATGCAGCCTTAGCCATGTCAGCAGAAAAGATAAGTTGTTTCAGAGGTCAAGTGTACTTCTTTGAATCCTGCACAACCAGGAAGATTTATTAAGGAACTTTTATTTTTTCAATCCATTGGTGTGTATTATTTATTTATATCTTTGTATTTTGATGTATTTTTGATCTTTTTTATGTAATTTTGATGCATTTGCTGTCTGTTTTTCCTTGTTTGTATTATGTCTAAAATCACCGTTTAAAAAAAAAAAAAAAAGTAAGTAAGGGTTATCCTGTTGTATTTAATGGAATATACTGCCCGGGTCTCTGAGAAGATACTGATCTTGTTTCTAGACACCAGCCCTGAGAAAAGATTTGCAGCAGCAGGAGGCGACTGACCTCTTCACATGGCTCTGCATCAGTGCAGCCTGGTTCATGGCCCGGATCCAGCCATTCATGTCCTCTTGTGTGTCGGCGCTGAAGAAGTAGGTCCTCATGCCACAGTGCTCGGCCTGCGAGCCAATCAGAGAATTCTTATTGTAAATGTAGGAGCGCATTCCCGTGTGGCAGGCCTGAGGGAGAGACAGAGAGACAGAGGGGACCATCAGCTCTGAGTCAGGTTGCACGTGCAAGTGAGGCACTGGACCAGCGGGCCCCAGTACTGCTGTGACAGCATCATTGTAGCAAGCTCAGAGTCATGCTGAACTGGTCTGTTTATTTTGTTGATCAGAGCTGAGGAAATGGCCTGTAAGAGGATTACCAACCAATGATGACTACAGTTCATTATCATTGTTACAAATATTATCATGCACTTCAGTCAAATGATCTGCACTGATCTGTACTATGCAAGCATTTGAGACTTTTGTTGAAAAATAATGAATAATCGTTGTACTGCAGACTATGGAAGCCCATTATGCCTCAGAATATATAAAAGTTGGTAACTGTGAGAAAGTTTAAAATAATCAGAAAGTCGCATTTGTGAGATATACACTACCAAAAAATGTTGGGTCTGTAAGAGTTAGTAATGCTTTTAAAAGAAGTCTCCGACTCACCAAGGCTGCATTTATTTGAAAAATACAGTAAAAGAGTAATTGAAATATAATATAATTTAATATATAATATATGTTAAATAATAGCGATATCTATGGCCTTTTAAAATAATCGGTTAAACTAGCTAGCTATTTTGATTGTTGACATTTTATTCAGTTTTTATATCTAAATGTTAGTGAAAAGAATAAAAATAAAAAACTTTTAGATATCAGTCCGCATATGTGATGGACATTGGTTATGATCATCATTGGTATCTACTTTGAAGGCATCTTGAGTAAAACGACTTCATATTTAACGAAGCATATGCAAAACGCTTGAACCGGAACCAACGAGACCCGGTTAACAGAATACGGAAGTTTGTTGCGCATAACCCCTATTTACTTCAGCAGAAGGTTTACACACAAGTATCTCTGTACTTGCCCTCCCTCTTCATCTGGTTATCAAGTGTACATGTAAGTGTTCAAATACTTTTTGGGTCAATTGTACATGCCAAACACACCACACAAATGTTAAAAATACACAACATTAAAGATGCACACAAATACTTACACACATAAACAAAGCTGTTAATTCTCTTACTGTTTAATGCCAGGGTTAACAGCCCCCAGCTAAACTAGCTCCATGCACCTTCTGTTCACTAAATCTGCTACTGCCAAAATGCAACTGTTGGTCTAATCTCTCTGATGGGGGTACGGCCACCACTCACACATCGAAATGCTTACAAACAAGAGTCCAGCTCAGCGCTTTTGCCAGGCACACCCATACCCATTCAGACAGGCTGCAGACCTTTCTTTCCACCCCTACAATACACACACAGAGCTTACATCTGGTAACATTGACTTCTGTAGAAAGTCAATGCAGCGGCCTTTGGGCTACATTGAAGGTGTCTCTTAATTCACAATTCGACAGCTGCATCTCTGCTCACGGCACGTTTTCCCCCTTTCCAGGAGTCTATTATCCTGCCTGTCACACACTAATGGCTAAAGCAGCCCCTCCAATATCCAATATCGGATCCTGAGGTCTTCATATTATCCTACTGTTTTCTCATTGACTAGAAAAAAAAAACATGTCATGGATTTATTGCATTTTGGGGGGAAAAAATAATACAATTTTATAATAAATCTTTAAAAATCAAAAACTGGATTTGAATCTTTAATGTTATTATAACCTATAGATGCTATGTGAAAGTTTGAAAAAGAAAATAGTGGTTTTCATCTTGCCACTTTCTTGGTAAAGAAAACACATTTTTACTCAAATTAATCAAAATGGATTTATAGCATTTTGGAACCAAACTCTTCATATATTCTTCTCACATTCCTGTCTTTAAGAAGTTAATGACCTCAGATTACCCATCTAGTCCTGGGCTTTCATTCGGGGTTATCCCTCTAAGTGGAATATGCAGTGATTAATCAGAGGAATTTGCTCGATCACTCAACCCTTTCAGAGGTTAAAGGAATATTGAGGGTTATTTCCTACTTAATATTCATAGACAGCATCTGTGGCACAAAAAAACTATGTACCTAAGGTTGTGAAAAATGACCAAAAACACAACTGTACTTAACTGTTATGGAGACAGGGGTGCCAAAACATTTAAAATATACAACTGTTGCAAAAGAACAGCCATAAAAAAAAAGAGTTATTGTGTTTGCATTTAAGTTATGTCCAATATAAAAATATGTTTTTGTCCGAGGGACAAACAAAAGGGACAAATCAATGTTATATCTGTGGTATTCAAAAACATGCCAAAAATCTTGTCAATAGATTAGAAGTTGTAAATAGCCTGGACTATTCCTCAGAAAGAAATTGTATTTAAGTTAAACATTCAAGAAGACACTGCATACATAAATACATTTATGTTTATCTTTTGGCCTTAATGTCTGTGAGAAATTCACATTTGGTTAAAAACATACATTAAATTGTATTGACA